CCCCCCCCAACAAACCCCCTCCCACCCCCACCTGGGGCTGTCCCGCTGATCCCGGCCCTCCCCGCCGCCAGTGCTGCATCGACGACTCCGGCTCGGTGGTGTCGGTGCTCCTGGACGCCGGCGCCGACGTCAATTCCCGGGACACGGAGCTGTGGACGCCGCTCCACGCCGCGGCCACCTGCGGCCACCTGCGCCTGGTCCAGCTGCTCACCCAGCGGTATGGGGGGAACCCCGGGGTGGGCACGGCCCCCTGGGCACCCCACAGCGCTCCTGACCCTTGGAATTGTCCCGGCACAGCGGCGCCGACCTGCTGGCGGTGAATTCCGACGGGAACATGCCCTACGACCTGTGCGAGGACGAGGCCACGCTGGACTTCCTGGAGAGCGCCATGGCCGAGCAAGGCGAGGGGAAAGCCGGGAATGACGGGGGGTGGGTGGGGGGCGGGCGGGGCCATGGGGACGCTTGGTCACTTGTCCCCTCGTCCCCTTTCCCATCAGGGATCACCCAGGAGCGCATCGAGGAGGCTCGAGCGGCCACGGAGCGCTCCATGATCCAGGAGATCCGGGAGCTGGTGCGGGTGGGCGCCGACCTGGACGCGCCGCGGGGACACGGAGCCACCTTGGTGAGGGCGGGGGACGCCCCCCCAAAGCGCCGCCGACCCCCTGGGCTGTCCCCAACTCGTGTGTGTGTCCCCCTGTTCCCACCAGCTCCACGTGGCAGCAGCCAACGGGTACCTGGAAGCGGCCGAGCTGCTCCTGGAGCACCGCGCCGGCACCGACTGCCGGGACGAGGACGGGTGGCAGCCGCTCCACGCCGCGGCGTGCTGGGGACAGGTGTGTCACCAAGACGCCCCATCCCGCTTTTCCCCGCTCTCCCCGTCCCGCTTCTCCCATTTTTCCTGGTTTTTTTACCCCCCCGCTCCCATCCAGGTGCAGCTGGTGGAGCTGCTGGTGGCTCACGGCGCCGACCTGGGCGCCAAATCCCTGCTGGACGAGACGCCCCTGGGTGGGTTTTTTTGGGGCCGGGGGTGGCTGTGGGGGGGTGGGTGAGGTGGCCCCGGGGTGACCCCGGGCTGTCTCCCAGACGTGTGCGGTGACGAGGAGGTGCGGGCCAAGCTGCTGGAGCTGAAGCACAAGCACGCCGCCCTCATGAAGTCGCAGGAGAAGCACAAGTCGCTGCTGCAGCGCCGCACGTCCAGCGCCGGCAGCCGCGGGTGAGACCACCCTGCTCTTTCCCACCCACCCTGCTCCCTCCCTCCCTCCCTCCCACCCCCCCGGTGTGTCCCCGGGCAGGCCGGGGGCCGTGCCGGGCTGTGACCGCCCGGAATTCCCTCTGGCAGGAAGGTGGTGCGCAGGGTGAGCGTGTCCGAGCGCTCCAGCCTCTACCGCCGGGAGCACCAGCGAGAGGCCATCGTGTGGCAGCGCGGGGGCCGCGGGGACAGCGAGGACGAGGCCGGGGACAGGGACGGCGCGGACATGAGGCACAGACCCTCGGCGGTGAGGGACAGAGAGGGCAGGGGGATACCGAGGGGAGGGGACACGGGGGGGTGGGGACACCGAGGGGAAGGGACACGGGGGGGTGGGGACACCAT